AAAAGTAAACAAATTGCTAAGTGTCCAATAACATCAATATTGAGTATAATATTTTTACACGTGTGCTGTATTATTTACAATTTACAAAGCAGTAGTCTGCATAACAGTAAATCTTCTATTTTTTGTGAGAATAAAAATTCAAAGTGGAAAGCAAATAATGTAAGAGGGGTGTGGGAATGTGACTAATGAACAGAGGAAATGTTATTTTAGTGCCAGGAATGTCTTTCTTGTTTACTCTGGACCCTATTTGGAAATTGCCATGTTTTGAAATTTGTGTGAAATTGGCAAAATTGCTAAATTCTGACCACTGTACTGGATAGTTGAAATCGGTAAATGGGTGGTTTGTTGTACTCATTCAATAGAAAAAAATGGAGTTCTAGCAAAATAATTATGATTTTTGTCGACTAGTACACTGGAATTGGCCGAAAATAGGGCTCAAAGTGGGCAAAATTGCCGATGCGTAAACATCGTTGAGACCACTAACTTCGCTAGAGCATAATTCTGTAAGTTTTCCATCAGATTTCATGCTTTTGGTGTCATTATGATCGGGAAAAGATTCTCTATCTTTTCATAAGATTTTTTTTTTTTTTTTTTTTTTTTTTTTTTTTTTTTTTTTTTTTTTTTTTGAAATTTTGAAAATGAGGACAAGTCTAGGAAAGGGCCTGGGGACCCTGAAAAGGTTAAGAGGGAAACTTGGTCAGTGGCTGGGCAACATGGAACCAAACTGAGGATCAAGAAGACTGTTGGAGAGGCAGAAACAACGAGGAACCAGAAGACTACTGTGGAAACTTCCAACCCATTTTCGATGCTACCTGACGAATGTGGGTGTTCTACTAGGAATGCCACAACGAGCACCAAGGAAGCATTGGCAGATGTGAGTGAGACATCCCTAGAAACCCCAACGAAGACCATCGAGAACGTCTTGACGAATTCCACAAGTGAAGGTGTAGTGCTACCTGACGAATGTGAGTTGACTACTGGGAACATCACGACGGACTACGCCAAGGAAGGTAAAAGTATTGTTGTTGGGGATAACCAGATTAAGTACACGGATAGGGCATTCTGCTTGAAAGATAGGAGTAGGGGGCAGAGAGTGTGCTTTCCTGGGACTGGGATGAAGGATATTGTTAGCCATCTGGATGACATTATGAGAGGTAATGGAAGCAATCCTATTATCTGTCTCAGTGCTGGAGGCAACAATGTTGGCAGATGTAGGAGTGAGGACCTGATTAGCAGGTATAGGTCAGCAATAGAGATAATTAGGAGGAAGGGTGGGAACCCTGTCATATGTGGTATTTTGCCAAGGAGAGGAGTTGGAAATGAATGGTTGTCCAGGGCATAACTGAGACGTGGTTTAATATGAAAAATAGGGACATGCTTGCTGAATGTCACATACAGGGTTTTAAATTGTTCCAAGTAGACAGAAGTATTGGGAGGGGGGTGGGGTGGCACTCTATGTCTGTGATCGTTCAAATTGTTACATAAAAATGAGTATAAAGTCTGAAACACATACTGAGTCTGTTTGGGTAGAATTTACAGAGGGGCATGAAAAATTTATTATAGGCATGATATACCGTCCACCAAACTTGGATAGAGACCGAGGAAGACTACTCTGGGAGGAAATTGTTAAGGCCACAAGGCACGATAATGTAGTAATTCTAGGGGATTTTAACTTTAGTAATATTGATTGGAATTTTCTAACTGGGAATTTAGAATCTAATGACTTTTTAGAAGTTCAGTGGACCCCCACCTTACGAATGCATCACGTTACGTTAAATCCGCCATACGAAGCATTTGAACGCAAAAATTTTGCCTCGCCTCACGATAAAAGACTCACCTTAGGTGATTCGTCCGGGACGCATCCCATGTGTGGCCTCAGCGCCAGTGTTTACAAGCCAGCCAATGCGATCGCATCTATGCATACATTCGGTACATTTCACATTATCCCAGTGTTTTTAGTGCTTGTAACTGCAAAATAAGTCACCATGGACCCCAAGAAAGCTTCTAGTGCCATCCCTGTGGTAAAAAGGGCAAGAATTAGTATGGAATTGAAAAAAGAGAGTAAGGAAATGTGTGCAAAGTGGGCTGAACTGCAAACCTTTATGAATGAAAATCACTCTGACACGGGTACTGCAAGCCGTGTTGGCAACCTGTACAATGACAATGTTATGGCCCATTTTAGGAAAGTCTTAAAGGGATGGGAGATACGGACCTCTATGGACAGATTTGTTGTGCGACAGAGGTCCAGTGACTCTCAAGCTGGTCCTAGTGGGATTAAAAGAAGAAGGGAAGTAACCCCGGAAAAGGACTTGCTACCTCAAGTCCTAATGGAAGGGGATTCTCCTTCTAAACAATATCTTCCACACTCTCCCCGCCTCCCATCCCATCAATCATCACCAGATCTTCAATAAAGGTAAGTGTCATGTATTCTATTCTTAGTAGAGTAGTAATTGTGCATGTCTTCTTCAGTTTGTGTGTATTAAAATTAATATTTCATGTGGTAAATTTTTTTTTTTTTCATACTTTGGGGTGTCAGGAATGGATTAATTTGATTTCCATTATTTCTTATGGGGAAAATTAATTCGACTATTTATTTATTTATTTATTTCCAATTTGAGCACACATACAGAGGTACAAAAAAATACAGATAAGAGCAGTATGCCAAAGCCACTTATACTATGCATAGCATTACGGGCTGGCTTAAAATTAACTTAAGATTAACTAAGCAATGATGAAATCAGTGAAAAACATTAATGTAAACTGATTACTATAAAGCACAAGTGAGTATTACAAAGACAGGTCATATGGTTGCTTGCATTGTTGTACATTCAGTCGTATGGAGTATTCTGTTAGGTAGTGTATTTAAAAAATAATAAAGTTAGATTGGGTTTTAGGTTTAACATTTATGTGATATAATTGTGAGAAACATTTAAGATATACAATTTATAGGGTTCAGTTATTCAGTATTTATTTGGTTTTGGGTGAGTAAGTGATCTTTGAGAAGAGACTTGAATTTATAAACAGGTAGTGTTTCTTTTATATTTACAGGTAATGAATTCCAGATTTTAGGGCCTTTTATGTGCATTGAGTTTTTGCATAGTGTGAGATGGACACGAGGAACATCAAAGAGTGATCTGTGCCTTGTGTTATGGTCATGTGTTCTGTTGAGGTTGGCAAGGAGATGTTTGAGGGGAGGGTTAATATCAGAGTTAAGTGTTCTATGTATGTAATAGGTGCAGTAATAAGTATGGATGTTTTGTATGGTGAGTAGGTTTAGTGTTTTGAATATTGGTGGAGTGTGCTGCCTGTAGTGAGAATTTGTTATCATTCTAACTGCAGCCTTTTGTTGAGTAATTAGTGGTCTGAGATGGTTAATTGTTGTTGAGCCCCATGCACAAATTCCATAGGTGAGATAGGGTAAATAAGAGAGTGATATAGGGCCAGGAGGGCTGACTGTGGAACATAGTACCGTATCTTCGATAGTATGCCTACAGTCTTGGAAATTTTTCTTAGAAATTTGTTGTATATGTGTATGAAATTTGAGTCTATTATCAAGGTGGATTCACTAAGAATTTTCCCTCTGTTAGTTTTGTGATAGGTGATCCGTTTATCATTATGTTAAGAGGGACATCTGTAGCTCTGTTACCAAACTGAATGAAGTAGGTTTTGTCAATGTTTAGTGTAAGTTTGTTAGTCCTCATCCAGGTAGATATTTTCTGTAATTCGGTATTTACAGTATTGGCTAGCGTGACTGGGCTCGGGTGAGAGAAGACGTATGTAGTGTCATCTGCAAATAGTGTGGGTTTGAGTAATTGCGAAGCATTTGGAAGGTCATTTATGTATAGGAGAAAGAGAAGAGGGCCAAGGACACTTCCCTGTGGGACACCAACTGTAACTGGTTGCGCAGAAGAGTTTGCCCCATTTGCGTACACATATTGGCTTCTGTTGCTGAGGTATGACTTGAGGTAGTTGAGGGAGTGCCCTTTATACCATAGTGTGACAATTTTACGTGGAGCAAGTCATGGTCAACTGTATCAAAAGCTTTACGTAAGTCAATGAAGATCCCCAGTGGGACTTCTTTTTTCTCTATTGCAGTGTATATATGTTCTAGCATGTGTATAATAGCATCATTAGTATTTTTATTAGGCCTGAATCCAAATTGGCAGGGGTTGAGTATGTTTTGGGAGATAAGGTAGGAGTAGATTCGTTTATGAATTAATTTTTCAAAGTTTTTTGAGAGGGGGTGTAAGTTGGATCGGGCCCTATAGTTATTAAACCCTTGTTTGGTCTCCTCCTTTGTGGATGGGGGTGACCCTTGTTTTTTTGGAGGGGGAAGGGTGGGGGATTAAATGGATTTTTAAAAGGGGTTTGCAATGTTGGGGGATAGCATTGTGCACTTTTTGATAAAAAAAGGGGGGTAAGGTATTTAAACCCCCTCCCTTTTTTTTAG